CACAATCTTCTCTTGATTTCATCTGCGTGAAGTACGCATAAATTATGAACATTGAAACGTATAGCAGTTCTCAAAATCCTTGAAATAGCATATAGTTTTTCACAGAGTATGAAAATCTGAGGATAACGATATTCATGACCAAACATTCATGGTATATGATTTTGTTCGAAAGCTGAACGATCTGCTGCGTAAATGTAATATTCCGGACGGCTGAAACAACTAAATTTTCTTAATACAAGTACTATGAAATTGTTTAGTTATTACTTACATATTTTTCTACCCTGAACAACGATCATAAATCTTATAACTGAATTATTCCAATCTTTTTTTTTTAATACTTACCGCCAGAGTTACGTTGAAATATTGCTGAGTCCGCCACGTCCAAGAAACGCTGGCGGAGGTCCCGGCTGGCCAAATACTAATGCGGGGGACGTCGGCTGCCGGGGGTTAAATTGCAGTTAATGTGGCGTTGGCACCGGGGAAACGCGGGAATATCCACCGCACTGACGTTCTTAGGCCAGAGCAATTTCAGGAGCCGCCATTATAAACCAAAGGAAAATTAACGTGTAAATGAATTCGGAAATTAATGCAGAGGCGCAAGTATCCACTAATGGGGAAATTTTTGGGTCTTAAGTTAAGTGATCACTCATGTGACAACGCGACGATAAACACACTATCATTATGGACTGGATCGAGTATTTTGAATATTCTTATATTATTAAAGATTAATTTATTTATGATGAACTACATTGAATATCATGATATTTTAAAGCAAGTTTTAAAAAGAAATAATAGTTCACTTCTCTTGCTCTGTAATGGAAAACTAGAATATTTGATATACATGTGAGCGTATTTAGGCTCTGCTGGCCTGTAATGCATTGCTCAGGGCTAGAGTTCTCATGAGCGAGGCTGTTCATAAACCTGCTCATATTGAGTACACTCAAAACCCACTTTGATTGAAAACAATTTCCGTATTTATTCGTGTTTATAATATTTTTGTTCGTGCTATTATTTCCATTTTTCAAATCCTTCATTTAATACATCAAGACTATTACTGAGTCTGATGAATCGAAAGTTTGATTTGAGCCATCATCTCAATGACAATGAAAGTGAACTTCAGTGAACAGCGGCAGTCGTTTGGTCAGGTATATTAATTAAACTAGTGATATGATTTCATCGTGCTCATATTCAACTGTAATAAAAAGTGTATTCCATGAAATGATTCTATTTAAAGACTTATTCAAGCGATTTGTATTATAGCGATCAAACTGCAGGCATGCGCAGGCACGAAGCTGTCGAGTCGGCGCATGCCGATGACAGAGATAGCCGAAACCATCTTATGGCGATTTTTTATTCAATTGAGGAGTTACGTTTTGCTTGCTTAATTACTCAACAGATGTATCTATAAAACGGAACAATAGGGCAAATAAGTAAAAAAGCAAGACCTAACATCTAATTGGGGTCAAGTCAATGTAGTCGATACTACTGACCATAGAATGGTCAGAATTAATCAATCATTTAAAGTTGTGCATTGTCGAATCGAAATATATATATACCACTTCCGAACACAGAATGAATATAACATTAGCAGACGACAGGACTAAAATACCAGTCAGACGACACCCACATAAATAAGGAGCAAAGCAAGTACAACCTGCCACCCAACAGATGCTGATTGATAGTTAAATTTAACATAAATGGATCATCAGAAGTAACACAAATAATAAATAAGTTCGAATTATCCACATCACAGGTATGAACCACCTGAACTCACTACACTTACACAAACAAAGGAACAGTCTTAGGATAAAACTTCATATCATACTGTTTACGATACGGTTTGACCCACAGTAGGAATGTGGGTTGAAGCTGTTTAGTGTGCGTAACGAGTATTTGTTTCGAGACGGTGAGACCGAGCTTAGAGCAAACTGTGCGCAATGGCTTCGAAAAAACTGGAGCTAAATTGCGCGCCAGAGAGGTTCTTCTGAACTCACGGGCACGCAAGCACGGTCTTTAGTTGAAATACATTAGCATTACTTTCGAAACAAATATACTTTTTGTAGATCCTTGTATGGAACTTCTCCGTGTATATAATCGGACTACATTAGGTTAATAGTGGAAGTGCGTATAAATGTGAGTAGAGTTGGTAAAGAAGTTAGTCAGTCAGAATGTCAGTAGAGTTTCTCACGTGGCCGGTTAGCACAGCCGTCCTCGTCGCTGGTGTCGTCGCCGTAGAAGACGCCGCACCAAACGAGCTCTCCGTCGCACCGCCGCCTCTCGTCTATGCAGCGGCCGGTTTTGGCGCACTTGAACTCATCAGAGCGGCACGCGCCTGCAATCACAAGTAATGCGTTAGGTTATGTTAAGACTATAATTGAGAAGGTGTGAACACGGAAGATAAATCTTTTCATAATATCGTAATAATCTTTTGTTATACTGACATCTATTTTATGCTATGTTATCAGTCTTCCTTCCTATATACTGCTTCTCCCGGATGTTCAGCTACATTATTTTCTATAGTCAGGGTTTGAAAAAAATTTAAACAGTCGTGGATATGCAAGATCTGATATTAAATAAATGCTCATTCTATTATTTCAACGAATTTTATTGCACATGTAGTACTTCCGAAAGCTGAATTTTCGCACCTGCTTAAAATGGAATGAACGTGGAAGATTCGAGGAGAAGCGAGTGGTTCATTAATTAGCTAAGCTGAGCTCACCACAGAGTGAGTGTTTCGTTATAAAAAGATTTTACTGATGGAGGGATTACCGAGAGAACATGGCGCCTCTCTAGTGTTTCAGCTATATATTTTAGGCGATAACTGATGACAATTGTTCTGAGCGATTAGTGATGACAATTGTTCTGAGCGATTAGTGATGACAATTGTTCTGAGCGATTAGTGATGACAATTATTCTAAGCGATAACTGATGACAATTGTTCTGAGCGATAACTGATGACAATTGTTCTAAGCGATTGGTGATGACAATTGTTCTGAGCGATTAGTGATGACAATTTAAGAAGCACACGCCTGCAATCACAAGTAATTCGGTAGGTTATGTCAAGACCATAATTGAAGGTGTGAACACGGAATATAAATCTTTGCAGATCACGAAATAATCTTTTGTACTGGCATGTATTTTATGCTATGTTATCAATCTTCCTTCCTGTATATTGCTTCTTCCGTAAGTACGTGCAGCTCAATTACGTTCAATAATCGTGATTTCTAAAACAATTTAGAAATGGTCTTTAATTTGAAATATCTGATGTTAAGTTAATGCTCATTCTATTATTTCAACGGATTTTACTGCACATGTAGTACATCCTTAAGCGAAATTTTTGCTACTGATTAAAATCAAATGAGCGTGGAAGAATTGGGGAGAAGCGAGTTGTTAATTAGCCGGGCTGGTGCTGAGCTCACCTCAGAGTGAGTGTATAGTTATAAAAGATTTTATTAAATGAGGGATTACCCAGATAATATGGTGCCTGTCTAGTGTGCCAAACATATTCTTCCAAGATTCATGATAAAAGAGTCATTTATCCACTTAGCCATCACCTTAATTTATTACCTACGCCGACTCATGATGTGTTACACACACTTACTGACTCATTACATCAGCCGTGTACTCACAATGCTTCTCATCACTTAAGTCCCCGCAGTTGTTAAAACCGTCGCATTCATCACGCTTGTGGACGCATCTGCCGTTGTCGCACACGAAGTGTTCACCGGTGCAGCCTGCGATGAGTCAAAGAAGCCGTGAATGTCGGGTTACAGCAATGTCAAATCCCAGCGGATATATATTTTTCTGTGTTATTCAATAATTACAGCAAAATAGTGTATGACTAGTTAAATTAATAACATGAAATTAAAAACATTCAAACCCTAACATGCAGTGGGTTCAGCGGCCCAAAATCTTGCTGTGTGAAAAAAAATTAGGCCCAAGAAGAAGTTAAACTCGACAAGTCAACATTAGTCATTGCAGTTTTACGAAAGATTGAAAAAATGTATAGTGGAACGTAATGAGTGAACTTGGAATAATTAATTTAATTCGAGCAATAAAAGAATTATTGAGAGCAGAAGCAGATCCTTATACTAACTCGAAATAAAAGACGGTAGAATTGCGAGGAAGCATTTGACTCATCAGGCAACTCACAGTCGCGCTCGTCGCTGTCGTCGTCACAGTAGTTGATTCCGTTGCACCTCTGCGTCTCAGGTATGCAGCGGCCGCTGTCGGCGCACTTGAACTGATCGGAGCGGCACGCGCCTGCAATCACAAGTAATTCGGCAGGTTTAATCTAAGACCATAATTGAGAAGGTATAAACACGGAAGACGAAACTTTCCGGATCACGAAATAGTCTTATTTTATACAGAAATGTATTTTATGCTTTGTTATAAATCTTCCCTATTATATACTCCTTCCGGATGTTCAGCTCAATTATGTTCTTTAATCAGGGTTTCTAAAAAATTTTAGAAGTGGTCAATGCAAAAGATTCTCACTGGGTTGGCACTTGCATGTAATATAAATTTTGAACAGCAAAAAATGAATTCACTTATTCAGAATAATTTTATCAAATTTGTTTCCATGATCTGGGTAAAAAACTGAAGCCGTAGATCTATTGATCTAGAAGCTGAATGCCAACACCTCATTGGCGCAGTTTATGATTATTTTCAACTCTAAACATTACTTAAAGATATGAACAACATTTGAACTTATTAAATGAAACTTACTCACGCCGAGTTACCATATGGACATGGTATGCAGACTAACAAGCTATGTGAATCGAAACAAGGAAAGAGTTTTATAATGGATTCTCCCAGTGACTCGGGATAAAAGACTCATTCATCCACTTAGCCATCGTATTAATTTAATACCTACGATGACTCATGATGTCATGACCGCACACTTACTGACTCATTACCTCAGCCGTGTACTCACAATGCTTCTCATCACTCCAGTCCCCGCATTGGTCGCTCCAGCCGTCGCATTCCCAACGCTTGTGGATGCATTTGCCGTTGCCACACACGAAGTGGTCGCCGGTGCAGCCTACGATAAATCAATGAAGCCGCGAATGTCGGGCAAAGTAATTTATTTAAATAACTTATTTTATACAGGGTGATCGGATTTCCTGAACGCGAGACGCGAAAGAATAGGTAGCTCGAGGTAAAAATGCGATGTATGCAGAGCTGGGCAGCGCTACTTTGAAATGTAGCGGCGCTACCGCTACCGCTACACCCACTAGATAGTAGCGAGTGCTACCGCTACAGCTACAGTAAAATGTAGCGCCGCTACATTAGCCGCTACAATGGCCAAAATTATTGGAAATCTCTAAATATATATTGTTCTGCTATTGGGATTTACTCATAAACACTTATTTATAATAAAACATTTTCAAAACATATCAATGTAACTTTATTGCAATTAACCTAACCCAGTGATTCCCAAAGTGGGCGATATCGCCCCCCTAGGGGCGGTGGAAAGATTTTTGGGGCGGTAAAGAAGAAGAGGGCGGTAGGAGGGCAATAAGGGGGGCGGTAGTCTGAAGTCAATGTCAGAAGTTCGAACGTTTTTTTGACGATTTGTGCACAACACGTGCAGCACATGACTCCCAGCGATGGTTTTTTCACCCAGATCTGTTTTTAGCGCATTTTCTCATTTATGGAAAAAATTCACTATTGTGCTCGCGATGTCCGTCTGTCTGTTTGTCCGTCCGTGACTTCACGTTTTCGTCGACGAGAAAATGCGCTCTCTGTCACTCACTGCAGTGAGTACTGAGTTATATTTTTTTAACCTCTCCTGGGTTTACGTCTCGGACAAATTAACGGCCGGACTCGCGGCCGGTCTCACGGCCAATTTCCAAATTCTATGATCAAGGAATATCTCTCAAACTAATGAAAATTTTTTCGATCGTGCCTTCGTTTGCGAGTTTTTTTTATTTCACCTTCATTCGTGATATAAACAGCAATACGTGCTTAAATTCGCAGTAATCAAGAAATTTTTTCTAAACTTCTGAACAGATTTGAACGAAACTTAGTATTTAAAAACCTAACCTCAGCAACGGCGATGTTTAGAATTTTTTTCGTTATGCCTTCGTTTGCGAGTTATACGGCTATACGTATAAGACTCTTGGTTAAACCGGCCGGTAGAAAATCTGGTCGTTCCTCCTATATCTGTATAGCTCGCGAACGAAAGCAAAATAGAATAATATACGTTTAGAAATTACTTTTCAAAGACAACACTTACAAAGAATCCAGTGTCTCCAATTTTACAGATGTACAATGAATTTCTCATTTAATTTTCGAATATTCTGTCAATTGATTCATGCATTGCCTCCGACTTCACACAAGTATGCAAAATTTCAGATCAATTAGACAGGTAAAAGTGTGTCAAATATCATTTATAAGATTTGTAGCTGACAAAATTATTTTGTCAATTTTTTAATATTGACAATTTTTTTTTCTAAAAATTATTTATTCTGTCAATTGATTCATGCATTGTCTCCAACTTTACGCATGTGTGCAAAATTTCAGATCGATTGGACAGGTAGAAGTGTGTTAAATATCGATTATAAGATTTGTGGCAGACAAACAAACAAACAACAAGAAGTGAAGTTAAAGAGAAGTGCTGTAATAAAAATTGTCACGAGCTAAATTTGTTGAGAGGTTAGGTTTTTATATACAAAGTTTCATTGAAATCTGTTCTGTAGTTTAGAAGAAATTTCTTGATCGCCGCGAATTGAAGTTTCAAATTACCCGGCTATACGGGCCGAATATAAGGAAATGTGAAATCAAGAATGACGGTGAAACGAAAAAAAACTCGCAAACGAAGGTAAAATCGATAAAAAATTTATCACGAGCTAAACATCACCGTTGAGAGGTTAGGTATTTATATACAAACTTTCCTTGAAATTTGTTCTGTAGTTTAGAAGAAATTTCTTGATCGCCGCAAATTTAAGTGACAAATTACCAGGCGATACGGGCCGAATATAAGGAAGTGTGAAATCAAGAATGACTGTGAAACGAAAAAAAACTCGCAAACGAAGGTAAAATCGATAAAAAATTTATAAGCTAAAAATAATTACCATTTGGTAGTTAGAAATGTATATACAAAATTTCGTTCAAAAATGTTCAATAGTTTGGAAGAAATTCTTTGATCACTGCGAATTCCGACCTGTTTCGCAATGTACGCTCAAGTCAACATTAGTCATTGCAGTTTTACGAAAGATTGAAAAAATGTATAGTGGAACGTTATGATTGAACATGGAATAATTAAATATAATTCAAGCAATAAGAGAATTATTGAGAGCAGAAACAGATCCTCATATTAACTCGAAATAAAAGACAGTAGAATTGCACTGAAGCGTTTAACTCATCAGGCAACTCACAGTCGCGCTCGTCGCTGTCGTCGTCACAGCTAGTCGTTGACTCCGTCGCACCGCCACGTCTCGTGTATGCAGCGGCCGCTGTTGGCGCACTTGAACTGATCAGCGCGGCACACGCCTGCAATCACAAGTAATGCGGTGAAGAATTTTCGGATCTTAAGTAGAAAATTCTAATATGTGTATTTATTTTGTTGTGATCACGAAGTGATTAATCGTCCATATTAATGTGTAATTAATGATGCTATTGCTTCAATTAATCTTCTCAATAAAATGAATTTGTCTCGAAGGGAAAATGAATGAATACATCGGGGCATCTTTATCGGTTATTAGCTTTTGCGTTAGTAGGCGGGCTGCATATGAGCTCTTCCCCAAATGAGTGTTTAGCTTAACTAATATTTTATTGAATGAGGTGCGTGGGAGAAGAGATTACCAGGCGAACGTAGTGCTGTTGCGAATGGATTACCGAGAATATTAATGCTGTTACGAAGGGATAACCAATTATGTCGAGAAAGCAAAGGTCAGAGCAATGTATTATCAATCAATAAAATTGATTCACATATTCAGAATGATTTGATCAAATTTATTTTCATGTTCTGGGCAAAGAAAAGCGTTGAATATCAACTGACCAAGAAGCCGGATCCAAACTGCACATTGACGCAGATTATAGTACTTTTTAGCTGTAAACATTAACTAATGATATGAACAATATTTGGACCTTATAAATTAAACTTCAACTCACACTTACTCACCATAAGGGCATGAAATTCCTACTAACACGCAATGTGAGTCTAAAAAATAATGTAAGTTTTTGGACAGGATTCTCTGAGTGACTCGTGATAAAACGCATGCATTGACCCACTTAGCCATCATAATAATTTAATACCTACGGCGACTCATGATGCGATGACACACACTTACTGACTCATTACATCAGCCGTGTACTCACAATGCTTCTCATCACTCCAGTCCCCGCAGTCGTTCTCGTCATTGCATTCCCGACGTTTGTGGATGCATCTGCCGTTGCCGCATACGAAGTGGTCACCGGTGCAGCCTGCGATAAATTAAAGTAGCCGTGAATGCAGGGATAACTAAATGATATAGATAACTAATTTTATGCACGGTGACCAGGTTTACTGAACGCGATGCGAAGAAAAATGTGTAGAGGTAAGAATGTTATGTATATGTTGATTAAAATATCGCATCAGAGGTGGTGGCAAATTCTCTATATGCAACGGGTTCAGCGGGCCCAAATCTCCACGTGGAAAGAAAATCTAGGCACCCGAAAAGGATAAACCAAAAACTCAGATTTAGTCATAGCATACTTGCGAAACATTGAAAATAATTCGATAGTGAAACGTTATAATTGAATGCAGTCAAGGGAAAATTCATTTTTATTCAAGAAAATGATTGAATGTTAAGAGCACCAAGACCCTCATATATTAACTCGAAATAATTGACAGTAGAACTGCGCGGAAGCGTTTGACTCATCAGGCAACTCACAGTCGCGCTCGTCGCTGTAATCGCCACAGTTGTCGTCTCCGTCGCACCGCCACGTCTCGTCTATGCAGCGGCCGTTGGCGCACTTGAACTGATCAGAGGGGCACGCGCCTGCAATCACAAGTAATGCGGTGAAGAATTTTCAGATCCATTGGAAAAAATTCTAAGGTTTGTATTCATTTTTTTGTGGTCACGATGTAATTTTCCTGCCTCATTAATTAATGTGTAATTAATTATGCTATTATCTTAATTTATCGTTTAAGTAAATTGACTTATTTCGAAGGAATAATGAAGACTTTGAGGCGTTGTCATCGGTCATTAGCTTCTGCGTTATTAGGCGGGCTGCATATGAGCTCATCCCGGAAAGAGTGTTTTGTTCTAATAAGATATCGGTGAATGAGGGGAGCAGGGGAAGGGATTGCCAGGGGAATGTGGTGCTGTTACGTATGGATTACCGAAAGTAACAATAATGTTTCATAGGGATAACAGTTATGCCGAGAAAGAAACGGATAGAGCAATGAAATGCCAGTTATTTGAATTCAATTCATATTAACCACAAGGAACCGCACCTGGAGACTCAGACTCACCTGCACCTGTAGAAGTTTGTTGTCCTGCAGCTGCGGTTGCCGCGGCTGCCAGGAGCAGCAGCAGCCTGCAGCAGCTGCTCGTGCCCTGCAGAGCAACAAGAGCTGTGAGTGACGTCGCCTGATAAGCACTGGTGTTTGCTAACATTCTTGCTATCACAACTGGGAGCATAAAATTAACCTTTAACAATGATTAACCTGATGCCAGTTGACTTCATGGCTGCAGGACTCGTCGGGGGCGCCCATTGATCGCTTGCTTTGTTGTGCTCATAAGTAAATATCAGTGGAGAATGTCCCCTGTTATCGAACTGAATAGTCATATGTCGGTAACTAGTGACGCAATGAATGATTTTCATGACGTCAATAGTGCCGCAATGGGAGACATGAGCAACGTTGCTCACGCCACTCACGTCACTCACAAAGAGCCTGATGAGCCAAATAGATGAAAGCGACTAGGAAATCGTCAATAAGATATGCTCTGTTTTCTTCAATGAAACTTGGTTTTTAAGAACAGCTTCTGCCTAAAAACACCAATAATTACCCTGATTGTATCCTTACATTGATAGGAAGTTTTTATAATTATGCTCATAAGCTTGGATCTTGAACACTCGAGATTTTTTTCAGATTTATACAGTCGCACTATTCATTCCTTTCTTACGTCTCATAGAATAGAACCATATTTTACTTCACAATTCAGGCAGTTTCCGAACAAATTAGCTACTTAACTAAGTTTTTACGATCATTTCACTATACACATTCCAACTATTTGAGATAACATTATTCAAGATTTTATAAAGTGCACATTTTGCTGTAGGCTTCAGAGATGCATAGTTTGCGACTGCGTTTAATATAGGATTCCGATATTTAATTCTTTTGAAAAAGCATTTCGATCACAAAACCTAGCGACACTAAACAAGATAAGTGTCCATGGGAAGGAAACGGGAATTCAACCGAGCATCGGCGTCGCCAAAACACAAACGGTCTTCCAGATCCAGATGAACAAGTTCTCCGACGCAGAACAGGTTCTGCTCACCCGACAGGTTCTCGCGGCCTGCGCCTCGCGACTGAAGTTTGTGCATGCAGACGATCGTGCATTTATATAAGGCCATGCATACACGCGGAGCTTCGTGAGATTTAGAGCCCCGTGGCGGCAAAAATGATTAATAGTTAATATACTTTCCATATATATGAAATAAACCGTGGGTTTAATTTATATGTGCAGTTTTTTTACATTTCTCTAACTGCAGGTGACCAAGCCCCGCATCGTAATAGGTGCATCAGCATGTTTTTCAAGCCAAAAAAGCACAACCTTTGCATATTTTTAGTTCAATTTCTCCATTTTTATCCATTTTTATAGTTAGTTTTCAAGCATAGCTGGTAAAAAATATATGTTATAGCAGTATCAAGTAAATGTATGCACGTACGCATGGTCTGATATTGTAGCGCAGTCCCACGCGCAGCAGCGCACCACACATTGTTTCGTTCAGTCTTGTGACGTGACCGCAAGGAACGTCACTCCTTCAATGGTCGAGAAATATTTCCTTGTAGCGCCCACTACAATTAACGAATGGTTGCGACGTGATGATAGTGAGGGAGTCCGTAGATTAGGTGCAAACAAGAACGGCTATTTATTTCCTTGTCACCGTGTGTTTTCTGAACAAGAATAAAGCCTATGCACTTCAGCATAAATTTATGAATGCTAATTGTAATTGTGCAACAAAATTAAAGGCTAAATATTATTTGATAAAGAAAGTCCGATTATTTTCTGTACGACCGAGCTTGATCGACCAAGGGCGGGGAGGAATCTGATAAAAAAATCAGATCTGATAAAAAAATCAGATCTGATAGAAAATCAGTTACTTTTTACAATTAATTGAGAATTTTGGTGCACTGTTACCTCACAATTTAACTAGACTTTTACAAAAACTTGTGAAAATCGTTGCGTCGTTTGACACCAGAGGAGGTGCACTCGTTCTCCAATTTCCTGGTGCATCGAGCAACCGCAAGTCTTTTAAACTGTGATCAGAAATGACGTCCGAAATATTATTCATATTCCATGCCAAAAAATACATATGCTAATGAATGATCTAATTATTATTTATTCTCTTATTCACATGTGCAAAACAGATTGAACTATGTCAAGTAACCGATTTTCTTTACGGAAGATACTTTACTATGACTTTTGCAAGAAGTTTGTTGCTGCGCCACTTGTAATTGTTAATAGTATTGTATATATAGTATAATAGTATTGTATATATAGTATTGTATATATAGTATTGTATATATAGTATTGTAATTGTTAATAGTATTGTATATGTCCGTACTGGTTAGTTTTGCTGACCACCACCTTCTGCACCGCGTACCTTCTGCACCGCGTACCTTCTGTACCGCGTACCTTCTGTACCGCGTACCTTCTGTACCGCGTACCTTCTGCACCGCGTACCTTCTGCACCGCGTACCTTCTGTACCGCGTACCTTCTGTACCGCGTACCTTCTGTACCACGTACCTTCTTCACCGCGTACCTTCTGTACCGCTTACATTCTGTTCCGCGTACCTTCTGTACCACGTACCTTCTTTACCGCGTACCTTCTGTACCAAGTACCTTCTGTACCACGCACCTTCTGTACCAAGTACCTTCTGTACCACGCACCTTCTGTACCAAGTACCTGCTCTATTGAGTAATTTGTTCGAGCTGAAATTTGTTCAATAGTTTGGCAACAATCTGTTATCTACCTTTTCTTTATCCTTGTTCAATATAAAGAAGTTTCCCGGCCAATAATTCCTCGTGTATTGAGGTGCGGCGCTGGTGAGGTGATGCTGGAATGATAGTGTTACTTTGTGGTCGTCCAGCTTGAACTCTACCCATGCATCATCACTCATGCGCAGCCACTAACCACGGTCAAACTTCTAATTCATTCATTTAATAACAATTGCGTCAATTGAATGATATTCTTCGGCTCCATCCTATATACAGACTCTAGTTTTAAAGTGAGACTTTCAAAATAACCGGCGTTGCTCAAAATAGATACATCCTAAGATTTAATGAATCTTGATTAAAAAAAATTAAGGATTAAAATTTCTTTGATGTTGAGTTCTATTTTGATTGCCGTTATGAAGGTTAAAGTAAAGTGGAATTTTTTTAATCTCATTTATTAATTCTACTGCAACCAACTACTAATTTAAATTTTTGATACTATATGCTTGCAAAGGCTCATGATCATTCCATATAATACTAATACCCAGATATATACCGGCATAATAGGAGGTGAGGATCCGGGCTAAAGTTGCTCCTATATATTGACAAGGCTTCAAAGAAAAAACAAAACCTTAGTATCCTTAGTATCTAATAAATAAACTAAATAAAAAATATGGACTAAATAAATATGGATATGGACTAAATAAAAATAAACCAACTATACAATTTTTCTAATTTGAATTGATTGAAGATGTTTATAAAAATAACTTATTCGCTCCAAATACCAGAAATGTCACTTCCCATTAAAATTTTGGAGGTATTTAATATAATGAAACAATAAACAACTGATCCCTCATTAGATAATGACGACGTACGTGTATTCGTAGCGTCACTTAAGAGTCAAATTTTGAACGAGCGGCGCACCGCGAGACGATCAGCTTTGAATTAACTGATTTATATTGCCGCTAGAAACTAATATTATCGCACTATCAAGCACGTACAGGGATAATGTAATGCACGTATGGATATGGACCATACTGTAGTTGTTATTAAACATTTCTATTTTGCTCCTCTCAATCGCGCGTGTCAGAATTTTCATGGGGTGTACTAACACAGCCCGAAAATTAAACCTGGCAATCACCCGTGAGACAATATTCAAGGCAATGGTAGCAATATGCCGGCTATATATACATTTCGCTCAGCTAATCATAACATGCATACGGTGGATATGGTATCAATGGGCCACCATTTGTCTGTACTCCTGTACTAGTACTATTTCAATGTTGACAGTACGCACAGCGCTATCTGCTGGATTAACTGAAGAATTTCAACACTAGAATATTATGCGCGCCTCTCTCCACAATTCGCATGCACTGCGCGTAGCATCCTGACTGAATTTTCCATTGCGTGTAAACGGAATTTTCGATCTGAACAGGTTTGAAATTTCCACAAATTAATCTTTCAAAGTCTACTCTAATTTGTTGTCATTTTTAAATTTTCTACGCTGGGTGCGGTTCTTGAAAGATGGCTGCAAATCCCTTGTAATGGAATATGCGTTTGTAAACAATTTTAATGGCATTTTAATGTTTTGAGGTGTCTGCATATTTTAAAACATATTCACGGTGAAGGCATATACCCATATGCCAAGTTTCTAATTTAGTACTTAATCTGTCAACAAAGCATTTCATAAAGAGCAAGGTTCCTCATAGTGATAGTAGCTCCCTAGCGTAGGATGTTCTAGTTGCATTATTTTCTTTGGAACGATTCACTGCCCGTTCAATAGATATTAATATGAGTTGAACGACGATGCATTGC